TGAAACGATTGACAAAGGGAAGCTATTGGTCGCAGATTCAACAGTAGTAAGTCGTCGGCGGAAGGGCCTCCATCACGCGACCAAGACGTGATGAATGTTCTGCGATTGCATATCAAGGCTTCTTTTTTGCTTGCAATAGCAAGGTCGCAAGGAGATTGTTCATAACGAACTCGGGGTCGTGTTCCATTGCGTGTTGTTGGTAGGTTGTTAGTAGGCGATTGATAAGCGATTGCCAAATGCTGAGATCATTCTAGAGCGAGAAGCGAGAGAATCGAAAGGTGCGAAAAAGCGGTTCCATGGATGGCAGCTCAAGGGTCTGCACTTGATTCGCGCAAAGTGGTTTTGTTTAATCAGTTTCCGGCATGCCTTTGGGAAGTAGGGTAGTAGATAGGGTGCTGATACCGTCCACTGATTTGTTCATCTTCTCTAAAAGCGAGCACGCAGATCTTGCCATCTCTAACTCTGAAGGCCATGCGAGGATCAGCAGTACAAATTGGTACAGAAAAATTTCAATTGATCTGTGTAGGCTACGTCTAAAAACCTTGTGTTGAATAGCGCACTCCATCCAGCAAGAGGTATTCGCATAAATTTATTATTCTCTTTCCATATATCAGGCAAAGCTAATTTTGTTAAGTACACCATAACCGATTGATAGTGATGTCAAGGCCAACAGGAAAACTCGTATTCAGCAGTTGACAGTAACGGATGGCTAACAAGGCTTATACGCAAGGCAATTTGATTGGTGACGGACCGTAGGCATTCTTGTATAAATTAAAGAGAATCACTCCATACACTAATAAATTAAGTGAAAACAATTGAAAACCGGAGCATTTGGGCAGCACCAGTGACACTTAGTTCATAGCATTACATAGTAAAGGATATGGTTCTCAAAAAATTTCGATACATTTGATTAAAATCAAAGCTGATGACACCTGAGGAGAATAAAATCACTCTTGAAGTTTTGCATCAATAATCAATTTTGAGCTAGGGTTTTCTTTTGAGAATCAATGAAGACGCGTTTGAAGAATCGGAGTTGAAGCTATCGTACCGCCGAGAGGGATACCATAAAATCTCTCTTGAGCCTCCATTTCTTCTTGGAATCTTCTTTCCAGCATCTACAAAATTCTCGTTATTGATGATCGCCGAAAAGCTCAGTCTCACCAGTTTCCTTGGAGCCAAGTCATCTTGCCATTGTTCTCTCATACTCAAATACTGCTTCTCATGTTCCTGCATAGTATTGCGTTCTTTTTCCAGCAACTGCTTCCTCTTTTCGTTTTGCATTTCGTCAAGCTCATTCATCTGCAACCGCGCTACATTATTCAGATTTTCTTTGGATTCTAACGAATTTGGAACACGACTCACTGCTTGTTGATGCTTTTCCTTCAACTGGGCAATCTTCTTAGCGCTTTTCAGATCGTGCTCTTCCAAAGCGTTCCTGATTCGCATATTTTCATGCTCATCAAAACGTCTCAGCTTCTCAGCCATTTCGGCTGGAGTCATAGACTGAATAAAATCTCATTTGAGTGATATGGTAATTTCCAAGCCGAACCTGCATGCTGATTCGAAGGCTTTCTTTGAACATGACGCTGCGAGTCTTTGCCTCATTGCGTAGCATCTTTGGAAGTTTTTTCCGATCTAGTGCGAGCGCTCGTTCAAGTTCATCCTCTTCCTCCTAAAAAAAATCGCAACAACTTCTACAAGAAAGCTCTTGACATTTGGATCAATTCAAGGCCTACGTCAAAAATGCAGAAAGATAATATGAAGCAAGATGCAAGCAGCATTTATGAACAGATAGGAGGAATCCAAAAAATCTAATTTTCAATTAAATCCTGATAAACCACATATCCCAATTCGCAAAAAAAGCATTCATCGTTTGTTACCTGGTTGATCTTTTGAGCTTGGGCCAACTCTTTCTGATGTCTTGCTAGCATCTGCGTGCGCAGCAAGAAGTACTCATCTTTGAATAATTTCCTTTGAAGATCGTATCTAAAGCACATCATCATTCGTGGGTTGATGAACTGAGGCCTAAATCGTACAAGCCTTACCTCTCTCCCATTTGCTTCTCCTCAAGTTCCCAGTCATTGTTTTCCTTAGCTCTCAACAAATGATGCTTTTGCATGAGGAACTGTCTTTCAAGAGTAGCCATTTTCTCCTTTGATAAATATCATGGATAACAGTGTACATATACAACAAAGCGAGCGTACCTTGTGCCTCTGCGTCATTTTTGTAAGTGTTGCTTCGGCATTCTTTTGTAATTGCATAATGAAATCAGCTTCCTGTAGTGAAAAGAAAACTTGCATAACAGAAAAAGTTCGAAAAAAGGAATCCGCTTTATTCTACCTTCATGTGGTTTTCGTGCTCCATTTGGTCCTTCTTCATCCGTACTGCATCTCTTCTTTGCTGCCTAGGAAGCATGTCCATTTCCTGTTTCATTATCTTCATTTCTTGCTTCAATCGGTCTTTGAAAGCACGCAGTTCCTTCTCCTAAGTGGGAAGGTTGAGAGAGGAACAAGAAAAAAATCAAAAGTAAAAACACCTGCTCGTATTTGAGTCGCTTTTGAACTTGTCTCATTTCTTCTTCTTGCGACTTTTCTGCCTCCTCAATTTCTCGCTTCTGCTTACGCTCCATTGCTTCCATATCAATTTCATATTGTCTTGTAGAAATCTTGAATGAATTCGGTCGAAAATATCACCAGTATAATGAAAGAAAAGCGTCTGACCGCCTTCTCCTGCTGGAACTTCCGCCCTTGCTGTTCAACCAAGTTGGCGCCATCGAGCTGAAGCTTTTGCTTCTGACGTGCTTCTTCTCGCTGGAGCCTTCGTAAATCTTGAAGCTGCTGTTTCCTTCAATGCAGAAAAAGTTTAAAGCTTGGAAAGAGCAAAATAGTTTGAGAAAACTCGGCAGCACCTCATCTGCATGTCTTCTTTTGCACCAAGCACATGCATTGTTGTAGACGTGACCTGCATCCCATCAATAGTGTAAGTACGAGTTTTCTTTGTGACCGTCTGCCTATGCGGATGTTTCCTTATTCCCACTCCAGCATCGCCGCCTTCCTTCTGTGTGAGAAATTAATAGCACGTACACCGCTCACTCCCTATGGGGAGTAACTAACCGCTAAACGATGCTGTATATCTTGCGTTCTGGGACCCTGCACTATAGATGAAAAAGGAACATCCCTCGGTAGAGAGAGTGGAGGCGCATTCTCTGGAGATATAGCGTATAGAGAGAGTGCTAAGTAATCAGCATATAAGCTCACCTTTGGAATTCTGCTGATCGTTGTAGTCAACGGGAGGCTCTGGAGGTGGTACTTTTTTCTCAGGAGCCGAGGGAGCGAACTGAAATTAATCAACAGTGATGCTCAACTGATAAGTATACTGAACCTGTGTACAAAAAAAAAATCAAATATGGTCTTCCTTACATATTCATTTTCTGTACTAGGACCGGCTGGGAAATGTTCGGAATAGTTGTATTCCTGTACATTGCGACTGGATTCCAAACCGGTGGAAACCCCGATGTAGTGTAATGGCGGTTCCGTTCTAGATTTTTGGACTCTGCCAACATTTTGGGGAGGTGGAGAGGATGAAATTTCTGCTTGTTGAGAAGGAACGCCACGAAGAGAACCAGCGCGATTGAAAGGCCTCAAACGATGTCACATTTGCTACTAGATAATTTACAGACTAACCTCTGGATAGCTTGTCCCTGGAAGTTTTGTCCCACTGTGGGGACATCGTAGTCGGCCGAAGAAGATAACAAATGCTAAAGAAACGTCAGAGAATTCATGTTATACGCTAATCGGATACTCTCTACAAACAACGTTAAAGTCCATACGACGTCAATAGCTTAGAAAAATATTATATAAAATTGAAAGAATATAGATATGAACAAACAATGATTGAAACATCGCACAGAAGTGTAACTGCGAGTAGCAAGTGATGTTATCCCTAGATATAATCTACCAAATTTACCTTATCCTGAGCGAATGAGTCAATCTTCGACGTCTTCTCAATTTCGTTTGTTGTACTGTAACCAGGCGTAATCATGCTTGATAACTATAAAAAACGTGTAAGAACATTTACGGTTGCAATAACTGCATAATGCTGTCATCAGCAGCTGATAGCATGCGCTTTGGAATAGCTGAATAAGAAAACTCAGTGCCTATAAGAAAGAGCAAACTACGACCATGTGCAGATGTCATTTTGCAAAGAGAGAGTAAACTTATCACAAAGTGTTAGTAAAGCTAACTCACTGGTACATAAGGAACATCCATTCCAACTTTTATAACTGCCTTGTCATGAACGCTCTGCTGTGAAGCAGCCTTCGATAACGAATTCTGTGAGTATACGTTCTCAGAAGAACTGGCAAGTGATCCATCTGGAAAGAGGTCTAGAATATATGCCAGATAAACTTTAAATTGTAAGATTCTACCTTGAAGATTTCTGGGTAACTGAGGACTAGGAGATTTTGTCGCCGCACGCGCAGCACCAACGACTAAAATAATAGTTACTTAAAAAATCTAATCCACAAAATTGAAAAAAAAAACGCAAGACAACTTAGTGAGCAGACAAACCATCTTTGATTTTATGCTGTGGAGTAGGGCTGTGCACAGTAATTTCGGTAGTGTGTGCAAGATCCGGCATAAGCTTGAGAGAGTCTTGACTGTACGCATCTGCGAAAGCATCGGCATCGGTTTCAAATGGCAGAGAAAAACATGCAAAAAATCTGAATCTGAACCCACCGTCGCTGAGTACCGGAGCGGGTGACGAATTTTGATTGTCAAGAGTGACATTCAAGTCATCAAGGATATTGAGAGCTTCGCGCCCGGGACTGACAAGATCGTTTGCTCCCTGAACAGATTCGAAAGATGATATACAGATTCGAACAAAAAATTGCAGATGCAACCAAATCAGTGTCGTCAATGCACGTTACCTGACTTACTGGCCCCAACCTTGAAACTCAAAGAGTAACGGTGGAAGTGGTCATTAAAAATCGTCCAAAAATAAGATAATGGAAGAATAAAACATTCTAAACCGTCCAAATCATACCTTAGTCTGCTGAGACGAAGGCTGAACATACAACTCCTTTTCAGAGAATCTCTTCTCGATCACCTAGATGAATTATATATATATATATA